CGCCCCCGCAGCTCCCGCAGAGCCCTGTTCCCGCACGGCTGTGGCTGTGGGGAGAGCAGAAATGGGGATAGGGACAGGGAACGCAGCTCTGGCTTCCACCCAGGATACATCCCGCGATCCGGTGTCTCCATCCTTGCCCTGAGCTCCCTCTGCGCCCCCTTCTCTCTGCACTAAAGGGGCCCAAATTCCTTCCCCTTCCCTCCTCGCTCAGCGTTTCTCTCCCTCTCACTGGCTGCATCGCCCTTCTCTGCCCTCTCCCCGGGAACCCACCTCTCCCCAGATGCCCGGCCCCAGGACTGGCCCAGAACCCAGCTGGGCCCCCAGGGCTGGCTGGGGAGGACAATTCCCTCCCGCGACGCAGGAACACGCTGTTAGCGAGTTGGTTTATTCACCTGCCTCCCCCTCTGCCCTCTGGCACGAGTCTTAGTCCACCTCACGTACAGGCCTCAGCACCCCACCGGCTCCTGCGATAGCCCGTGTGAACTTGCACCCGTGAACTGCTTCAGTCCAGTGAACCCGCTCTTAGCGAGTAGGAGAGGGGGCCCGGGCCCACCCTCTCTCAGGGGCCCCAGCCCAGGGCCCTAGGGACATCGATGGAGCACGTTCCTGTCCGGCTGGTGGGGCTTCCTACTGAAACACGCCAGCCCACAGGCATTACCCATCCACCCTGCCCTGGGCTACTTCCTTCCTACTCTGCCCCGTCCGTCGCCCTGTACGCCCACCATCCTCTCCCTGGTGGTGTACAGCCTGTCCCTTCCCTCCCTTCCCCCCGGTCCCACGATTGTCCATCAATCCCAGCAACGGGGGACAGTGAGGAGCTGGATTCGCAAATGGGGCCATTACTGATTGAGGGTCGCACCCGTCTTCATGTGCCGGGTCAGTGGGGGGATGTGGCTCCCACCCAGCAGTCGCTGGGGAGCTCCGACGTCCCAGGGAGGGAAATGGCCTTTGTAGCGAGAGAGCCATTCCACGTCCCTCGCCAGCCCCATCAATCCCAGCAACGGGGGACAGTGAGGAGCTGGATTCGCAAATGGGGCCATTACTGATTGAGGGTCGCACCCGTCTTCATGTGCCGGGTCAGTGGGGGGATGTGGCTCCCACCCAGCAGTCGCTGGGGAGCTCCGACGTCCCAGGGAGGGAAATGGCCTTTGTAGCGAGAGAGCCATTCCACGTCCCTCGCCAGCCCTAATGTGCCCGTGTTAGACGCGCCGATGCATCGGCTGTTTCTGTGTCGTCTGGTTTAAATGTATTTTGTAGGGCAGGTGGCTCTTTCCAAATCCCTCACTGAGGTGGTGTCTACGCTGCAGGTAGGTTTCGGAACAAGCTCTCCCGGAAGCAATACGCCCAAGTAGCTTATTTCTAAATAGTGCGTCTACACTGCAGGGAAGCCTGAAAATCAGTCTGAGGCCATCTCCCTAGTGTGGACGCGAAACCTCGACTTACAGCCGCAGGAGGCCCTGGGGAGTCATTGCTCTGAGTGGCCCCGGAGGGGGGGGCTATTTCGAAATAGCTACTTCGCAAGAGGCGTGATTCCTTAGGGAACGAGGTTTATAGAAGCCAGAATAAGCCGCCCTCTGAGGGGTGTTTTCCTGGCTGGGCTGTAGATCGCCAGCGATGCCTGGAAGGGTTGGAGGTGGGGGCTGCCGGCGCTGCCCGGGGGGTTGTTGTTTTCCTCGGGGGGCCATTCTGGAGGTGGGTGATGTCGGGGACTCGCCCGGCACAGCTGGGGGGTACGTCACTCTTCAGAAGTGTTCAGTGACAGGATCCGGTGGAGATGTTGTCGGTGTCGGTCTCGGTCCGTGGCAGCGGAGCCGATCCGGTTGTGTCTCAGGGCCTGGCTGGAGACACTGGATCGTGGGATGTGTCTGGATGGAAGTCAGAGCCGTGCCCCTGCCCCTCTGCCCCACAGCAACAACCAGTGTGTGACCCTGCTCCCCCCCGCCCCCACAGCGACAGCAGCCTGGGGGCAGGGCTCTGCGGGGGCCGTGGGGAAGGAGCAGCCGTTGGCTCATCTGCAGAGTCACCAACCATCCAGCCCTTGCGCCAGCCGGGCTTGCGACATCCCCCTGGGGTGCAGGGTTTTCCAACTGCCACCGGCCACAGGGGGGTTCAGCATCACCCCGACCCCCACCTGACATCTGGCAAGCCAGCCTGGTTGGGGAGTGAAGGATGGGCCCACTGCCCCCGATCCCCCTGGGCCCAGCCTGCTGACGGGGACAGATCTCCCCTCCGGTTTGGGGGGTGTTGAGCGCCCAAGAACTAAGGTGCAGCCTGCTGCTGGGGGAGCCGCCGGGCAGCGCAAGGGACAGATAGGAGGTGGGGTCCTGGCGCGGCTCCCCATAGAGCCCCGCCTTGAGATGGGGGAAGGGCAGTGGGGAGCCAGGCCAGGCCCCCACCTCTGCCTCTTGTCCCGCCTTGAGATGGGGGAAGGGCAGTGGGGAGCCAGGCCAGGACCCCCCCTCTGCCTCTTGTCCACAGCCAGGGACCCCTCCTGGTCACTGCTGTGACACACACCCAGGACTTGTCAAGCTGGGTCGTCACACACAAACAACCACACGCACGCACACAGACTCAGCTCCCCATAGAGCCCCGCCTTGAGATGGGGGAAGGGCAGTGGGGAGCCAGGCCAGGACCCCACCTCTGCCTCTTGTCCACAGCCAGGGACCCCTCCTGGTCACTGCTCTGACACACACCCAGGACTTGTCAAGATGGGTCGTCACACACAAACAACCACACGCACGCACACAGACTCAGCCTGCGCCCCATTCCCCACCTGCCTTCAGCCACCCACGCTGGGCTCACAGGGACCCCTCCAACCCCGAAGGGATCTACTCCAAGTCGGGGGGCTCGGCCCAGGGGCATCAGGGGCAGGCCGGGCTGCCTGGGCCCAGGGGAACCGGGGGCTTGCCGGGCTCAGGAGGGTCGGGGGCCAGTTACGGCCACGGTGACGGTTGCAAACCCTGCACCCCCAGGGGACGTGTCGCAAGCCGGGCTGGGCAAGGGGCAGACGGTTGGTGACTCTGCAGGCCGGCGCGATGAGCCAACAGCTGCTCTCCCCCACGGCGCCCGCAGAGCCCTGCCCCCACGCGGCTGTTGCTGTGTGGCCACGTGGCACACCTGGCTGGTCTGCTGGGGTGGAGTACCCGGCTGGCTGCGGGAGGGTTGGTGCTATGGGGCCCGGAGCCCCATCAGCGCTGCTCCCAGGAGCCATGGGGAGCCGGGTGGGTGCAGGGAGCAGCCACACAAATGTGACAAGGATGATTCCCGCAGGGTCCTAGGCTGCCCCCACTTGGTCCCTGTGGCCCCTGGGGGCCCCCTCTAGTGCGACGGCCTCTTCTCGGGGGCCCCCTGTGCACTAGGGATCCCCCCTCCACCTCCTGGGACCTCCAGCTGCCTGTCTCTGCTGGGACCCCTCAGCCCAGAGCGACTCCCGGCCGGCCTCACACGGGGGGGGGGGGGTTACGGAGCACCCCCCAGCCCAGCTGAGTCTCCCCACATCCAGGGGGTCTGCCTGCCCCTGTCCGACCAGCCCGGCCTCTGACCCTCCCAGTAGCCCCTCCCCTGGCCTGTGTCTGCTGGCAGGTAACGGGGTCATCTGGGCCCCTCTCCCCTTCCCTCCCTTTGCCCCCCTCAGTTGGGCCCCGCTGGGCAGGGCCCTGGGAGCCTCCCTCCACAGCCTCTTGGCCCCCCCCCCAGCCAGACCTCTCCCTGCCCTC